GGGGGGGGGGTAAATAGACTGGTTGTACTCTAATGAACGCTAAAACTTTACAGTTGTTGAAACCTAAGGAGCACACTGCTGTTTTTAAGTGCAGGTATATTTGGTGTGAGCCTGGTGTTAAGTTCTACTTTGAATACTCTTATAGCTGTCTTATATATTTTTTTATAAGTACACTCCAACTGATTTGAACCAAATGCCCCGACGTTGAAATGGCCTGTCTGTCTTTAACATAACAAAACAAAGCTCAGAAAATACCTTGTTGTTTAGCAAACTGCATGTTACTGAAATCTTTACCTAGAAACTGTCGTTTAAAATTTAGTGACAATTGGGGACTGTGTTTGGTTTGTAAATTTGATCGAGATAACGATTGACTTTGGCACCTGCATTCATGTTTCGAATCGCCATAGGTACATTCTTGAATTTGGGATCCCTTCAAGATATATATTAAGGCCTTTATTTCAATTCCGCGGGTCCCTGAGCATGCTTTAGATTCTGCTTTATAAACGCTGTAGAGTATTCAAAGAGATATAAAGCCACGCGCCACTGAATACATACTATGTATGGTCTGTTTCGTCTTGATAGGCGATCTTAAAGCAGTATACATGATGCAGTGTTGCCTGGGCGGTAGACAAGGAGGAAGTAGATTGCCCAAGAACTACTTCCCTCCCTTCAGTCTTTGACTTCCTTGATATGCCCCAAAGGAGAGATAAGAATGGTCCTTGCGTTCGGTATGGCATGGTACGGTATGGTATGGTATGGTATGGTATGGTATGGTATGGTATGGTATGGTATGGTATGGTATGATATGGTATGGCATAGGCAAACTACGGCCAGCGGGTCAGATTCGTCCCTCGAAGAATTTCAGTCTGACTCACGAGTAGACCCAATAATTAATCGTGAATAATAATTTTTTTTTAAACCGTCCCATCTTGAAAATTAAAATACGTTATTTTAAGTCCAAATGGAAGCAACATCTTTAATATTTTATCTCATGAAATGCTCTCGAGTGACACATTATTTATGATATAGTGTCAGTGTCTCACTTTTGAGGGCTAGGGTATTTCAACCGATTTCACCCAGTTTTCTCATTCTTTTGTGCATGAGGTATCCCGACCCTCTTAATCCCGCGACTTGGACGCATCATCATCATCATCAATGCCTTTCACCCCTGGCAGGGTATAGGCCACATACAAGCTCCTTCAATTTATCTCTGTTCTGGGCCATCCTTCGTAACTCGTTCCAAGTGAGCTTCAACTCTCTCATGTCCCTTTCCACACATGTCCTCCATGTTTCCCGTAGCCTACCCCTGCCTCGTGCTCCCTGTGGGTTCCACTGCAGCGACTGTCTTGTGGTGTTTCCGCTTTGATTACTGAATGTGTGTCCCATCCACCGCCACATTCTTAGTCCTATTTCTACTTTTATATATATCCTTTTGTCCTGCCCTTTCCCACAACTCTTCATTTCTTATTCTATCCTCATAATCTGTAGATGAAGGTTTGGACTTTATTCAGTACTGTCTTTGTTGTCTTCCAAGTTCCGCAGCCGTAGAGGAGCGCAGACGTGACATTGGAATTAAACAGTCGAATCTTGGTACGTAGTGAGATGTTGCTTGCTTTCCAAATTTTAAATGATTATTATTGCTTGAATGCTGACCTTGCCTTGGTCTTTCTTGCTTTCACATCTGCCTCAGTTCCGATTTTACCATCGATGACACTTCCAAGGTAGGTAAAGGAGTCCACTTGTTCTAGGGGAGTGTCCTCCACTGTCACAGTAGAGCTTGAAATTTTTCCTAGCTTCACCACTTTCAACTTGCCCGGGTGTATATGTAGGTCAACACTCCTTGATAGACTATTGAGTTCCTTACGTCCTTTCTTGCGCCTGGGCTTGTGTGTGAGAGAGCAGTGCAAGGTCATCGGTGAAGTTGCCAAGGGATCCACTGTATTCCATTGCGCTTGCCTCTGGTGGCTTCTTTCATGACCCAGTCAGTTGCCAGTATGAAGAGACGACTTGGGCGCGCTTGCCAATAATTATGCCAGGCGTAAAGGATATGATCTAATACAGTCTTCATTTAGAAAACCGTTTTCCTTATTTGTAGCCTACTGAGGGAGAGCTTACAGATAGATTCAAAGGTACGACGAGCTTCAGCTGGTGGTTTTGTGTATATATATGCATAATGGAAACACTAGATATTTTTAAAAATCTCAGTTTAATCGAAGAACAAGAATCTGGTGAAAAAAGAGCAAAAAAGAAAAAACAAACAAACACCCAACAAATTCCAAAGAAAAG